GCATGTCCACATCACCCCATCCCCATGTCCCGGGCCTCCCCCCCTTCCCCATGTCCCCACATCCCCAACACCATGCTCAGAGTCCCCATGCCCCTTGTCCCACACCCCAGTGCCACCATGACCTTGTGTTCCTGTGCCCCCCATACCCGTGTCCCCCTTGTCCCCCCCATCCCCGTTTCCCCTGTCCCCCATGCCCTCGTTGTCCCTATCTCCATGTACCCCCTCCCCAAGTCCCCCATCCACCTGTCCCCCCCCCATGTCCCACTGTCCCCAGCCCTCCCCTGTCCCCGCGCTCTCCTGTTGCCCCTGTCCAGCCCTGGCCCCACCCTCGGTGTGCAGGAGGTGCAGCCGGTGTTGCCAGAAGCTCCGGAAAGGCGCGACGCCGGTGCCGGGGCCCACGAGGATGCAGGGGGTGTCGGGGGCGGGCGGCAGCCGGAACGAGGGGGCCCTGCACGGTGAGGGTGTCACCGGGGGGGCCCGGGACCAACCCGGCCGGCGGCGGCGGGACCCGGGGGAGCCCCGGGACCGGCCCCTGCTCGGGGATGCCGGGAGATGTAGTCGGGGGGAGCGGGGGCGGGCAGGGACATGTAGGGGGGCGAGCGCGGGGCCAGGCAGGGGAGCAGAGGGCGACAGGGAGCGGACAGGGAGAGCAGGCAGGGAGCAGGAGGGGGCGCAGGCCGGCGGACCGGGGGGCAGTCTCTTACCCCCGGATGAAGGCGGGCACCGTGTCCCCCGGCTGCAGCCGCGCCAGCCACGTGGAGCAGACGCCGTAGTGGAGAGGGCCCTGCCCGTCTGTGGGGACCGGGAGGGTCTGTGGGGGCTGCGGCAGGCGGCACCCCAAAAGGCAGCCCCCCAGAGAGCCCTCCCGCAGAGGGGCTGGGGACACCTCCCTGTCCCCCCCTCCCCGGGCAGGGTTGGGGGACGGAGGACCTGAAGATGCTCTGCGGACACTGGAGATGGTTTGGGAACCCTGGAGGGGCCCCGAGGACCCTGGAGATGCCCTGGAAGCCCCCACGGCCCCGTGCCCGTCCCTGTCCCCGCTCACTCTCGCTGTGGTAGGTGACGACGGCCACGGTGAGGTGGATCTCGCCCGGGTGGGCGCCGGGCGCGGAGCTGATGGAATAGTAGCGGGGCTGGAGCAGCGGGAGCTGGGAGAGCAGCAGCGCGGCCGGCAGAGCCACGGACGGGAACTCGGCCAGCACCTCCGGCAGCGTCGGGCACCGGAACCACTTCCACTCCTCGTACAGCCGCGCGTCCTGCGGGCACACGGCCGGGACACGGGGACACGGCACCCGCTGGGACCCCGCGCCTGGCACACGGCTGGGACACCGGGGACCCGGTCCGGGACACTCACCCGGCACCCAGACAAAGGGACCAGCGGTCACCCTGGCAGGGTGGCATCCCAGTATCCCAGCTGGGGATGGGATCAGCATCCCAGCATCCCAGTATCCGGCCATGGACGGGGCCAACATCCCAGCATCCCAGCCTCCTGCTCCTCCAGCCCCCGTCCCCGGGGGGACGCCCCTCACCTGCGCCAGGCGCTGGAGCCGCTCCCGCTCCGCGGGGTCCCGCGCCAGCGAGCCCAGGAGCTGCAGGAACTGCGGGGTCGGGGGGGCCGCCACGTCCAGGTAGAAGGTGAGAGCCTGGGCCAGGGTGCAGGGGGGCAGCCGCGGCTGCAGCACCCAGCGTGGTCCGGGGGGGGACCCGCCTGCGGGGTGGGGGTGGAAAGGGGTTCTCAGTCCTGTCCTGCCCCTCCCCCACTTCCCCAGCCCCTTCCTCTTCCTCCTGCCCCTCCCCAGCCCCTTCTCTTCCTTTTTTCCTTTTCCTCCTCCCCAGCCCCTGCCTCAACTCCAGCCTCTTCCTCTTCCCCGTCCTCAGCCCCCTCCTCAGCCCCCTTCCCAACCCCCTTCCCAGCCCCTTCCCCAACTCTTTCTCCTTTCTTCTTTCTCAGCCCCTTCCCCCTATCCTTCCTCTTCCTCCTCCTCTCCTTCCCCCACCCTTTCCCCTTTCCCAGCTCCTTCCCAAGCCTCAGCCCCTGCTCGTACCGGCGGGGTCCTCCTTGTCTCCCCCCGTCTCGGTCCGTACTGCCGGTCCCCCCCTTCCCCTGTCCCGCTCCGTACCTGCGGGGTCCCCCATCCCCTCTGTGTCCCCCTCCCCGTACCTGCGGGGTCCCCCCATCCCCTCCTGTGTCCCCCTCCCCGTACCTGCGGGGTTCCCCCCACCCCTCCTGTGTCCCCCTCCCCGTACCTGCGGGTTCCCCCATCCCCTCTGTGTCCCCCTCCCCGTACCTGCGGGTTCCAATCAACCCCTTATTGTCACCTCTCCCCGTACGCTGGGTCCCACATCCCCTCCTGTATCCCCCTCCCCGTACCGCGGGGTCCCCCATCCCCTCTGTGTCCCCCTCCCCCCAGTAACTATGGCGGGGTCCCCCCATTCCTCTGTGTCCCCCTCCCCGTACCTGCTGGGTTTCCCATACCCTCTGGTCCCCCTCCCGTACATGCGGGGTCCCATCCCCTCTGGTCCCCATCCCGTACCTGCGGGGGTCCCACATCCCTCTGATGTCCCCTCCCAGTACCTGCGGGGCTCCCCACCCCCTCCGTGTCCCCACTCCCTGTACCTGCGGGGTCCCCCATCCCATAGTTGTCCCCTCCTCCGTACCTGCGGCGGGTCCCCCCATCCCCTCTGGTGTCCCCCTCCCCGTACCTGTGGGTCCACGCATCCCCTCGTGTGTCCCCCTTCCTGTACCTGGTGGGTTCCCCCATCCCCTGTCCCCTCCCGTACCTGCTGGGATTCCCCATTCCCCCTTGTGTCCCCTCCCGTACCTGCGGGGTCCCCCATCCCCTCTGTGTCCCCCTCCCCGTACCTGCGGGGTCCCCCCATCCCCTCTGTGTCCCCCTCCCCGTACCTGCGGGGTCCCCCCATCCCCTCTGTGTCCCCCTCCCCGTACCTGCGGGGTCCCCGTCGCGGCTCTCCAGCCCCAGCGGCTGCTCGGGGGGCGGCGGGTCCTCCACGCGCTCCAGGACCCCCCGCACCAGCTCCTCGCGGTTGGCGGGGAACACGCCCAGGTGGTCCCCGGGCAGGTGCCGCAGCCCCTCCTGCCCCTCGCAGCCCACCCGCACCAGCAGTGTCTGCCGGCTGGGGGGCACGGGGGGGTCAGCGCGGCGGGGGTGGAACACGGGGGGGGAAAGTCCCAGGGATGGGGGGCTGTGGGGTGCGGGGGGTCTGGAGATGGGGCGTCCCGGGGTTGGGGGGGTTCTGGGATCGGGGAGTCCCGGGGATGGGGACCCTGAGGATGAGGGGGCTCAGGGTTGGGGGGACCCAGGGTTTTGGGGGAGGGCGGGGATGGGGGTCCAGGGATGGAGGTTCCCAGTAACGGGGGTCCTGGAATGAGTGCCCAGGGTTGGGGGAGTCCCAAGGTAGGGGGGTCCCGGGAGGGGGGGGGCCGAGATGGGTGTCACTGTCCGGGGGTCTCACCTGGACTCCTCACTCTGCAGGTTCTCCACAGACAGCACCGAGCAGGGGAACACCCGGCGCTTGTGCAGGTGGGACAGACCTGGGGGGCACGGGGGGGATCATGGGAGGGCTGGGGACACGGGGGGCTGGGGATGTGTGGGAGGGACACGGAGAGCTGAGGATACACGGAGGGCTGGTGGTCATGGGGCAACTGGTTGGTCATGGGGGGGCACTGGAGGGTGTGGGGGGGCTGGGGATGCATGGGGGGACACAAAGGGACACAGGGAGACATGTGGGGCTGGGGGATATGGGGGGCTGAGGGGTCATAGGGGGACTGGAGAGTCACAGAGAGCTGGGGAAGAACAGGGGTTTGGGGGGACATGGGGGGACTTGGGGGGACTGCAGGGTCATGGGGGGACACGGGGGGCTGAGGAGTCATGGGGTGACAGGAGGGCTGGTGGGGTGCCAAGGGATCCTGGGGAGGTCACGGAGGGGCTGAAGGAGTCCCTGGAGGGTGGCTGTGGGGTGACCCCCCAGAGCTGTGAGGTGTGAGGGGGTCCCACAGGGTGCTCGGAGGGGGCTGTTGCTGTGGGGTGTCCCCGAGGGAGCCGTGGGGCAGATGCTGGTGGCAGGTGGAGGGTGATGCAGAGGGTTGGGGGGTCCTTGGGGATGCCAGGGGGTGCTGGGGGGTCAGTACCAGCCAGGGTCTCGGTGGCCTGGGGCTGCGGCACCAGCCGGTGCCTCTGGCGCTTCCAGCCCTGCGGGGGGGCAAACAGCTCCTCGGCCCCCCCCGGCCCGTCCCCCACACAGAAGGTCTCACAGGCAGCCTGGGGGCACGGGGGGGACACGGTGGGCACCGAGGGAGGGGGGCTGGTGGGTCCCCCAGACCCCCATACCTGGAACACCAGGTGTTCCCAGGTGTGGAATGACTCCTCCTGGCCCCCCAGCCCCGTACCTGGAACACCTGGCGTGCCCAGGTGCGGAACGACTCCTCCTGGGCACACAGCTCGTCGCCCTCGCCCAGGGGCAGCACCCGCTCCCCCCCCAGCTCCTCCAGCCGTGTGTCCACGGCCCGTGCGAAGGCGCAGAAATGGGGGTACGCCCGGGACCCCAACCCGAACACCGCGAACCTGGGGCAGGGAGGGGGGCGGGTCCTCAGAGCCGGGGTTTGGGCACCCAGGGGTGACGGTGTGGGGTGCCCAGGGGTGTTGGGAGGACCCAGGGCTGGTGGGGTGCCCAGGTAAGGAGACAGGAGACAGGAGACAGCCAGGGATGGGGATAGGGGGCATCCAGGGATGTGAGGTGCCCAGGGATGGGGGGTACCTAGGAACGAGGGGTACTCAGGGATAGGGTGGACACCCAAGGGTGGGGGGGAGCAGGGAATGCTCAGCATGCGGGGATGGTGGGGGTGGGGGCACCCAAGGAGGGGGTGGGATACTCAGGGAATGTGAGGACACACAGGGGTGGGGGTGGGGTGCCCGTCCCCATCCCGGTGCCCGTCGCCATATCTGTGGCTATGCCGATCCCATGCCCATCCCAGGGCCCACCCCCATGGCCCCAGCACGGCAGGGCTCCCAGCATGCCCCCGCCGTGCCGCGGTACCGCAGCGCTCCCAGCGTCCCGGCGCTGTCCGTGTTGCTCAGCTGCCGACGCTTCTTCTTCCAGGAGGCCACGAGCTGGTCGGACTGGGAGACACTGTTGAACCGCAGCTTGTAGCTCCTGGGGGGGTCAGGGGGTGAGAGGGGCTCGGGGGGGTCCTGCCCCAGCCCCTGGTCCCAGCAGGGACCCCCGAGCCCCCCCGGTGCTCACATGGGCGGCTCCGCCTGGGAGGTGCCGGTGTACGGCGATGTCATCTCCATCAGTGCCTTGGAGAAGCTCTGGGGGGGACGGAATGTCAACCCCAAATCCAGACCCTTTCCCAATGCCTTTCCTATCCCAATTCCATCCCCATCCCATCCCTATCCCAATCCCATCCCAACCTCAGCACATTCCGGAGGGTCCCCGTTCCCAAACGTGCTGGTGACCACCAGGACCAGGGTCTCGTGCTCCAGGGCCACCACGTCATACTCGTCCATGCACAGCACCTTCGTGGAATCCAGGATTGGGATCCTCTCACTCGGTGTCTCCGCTCACCCTCGCCTTTGGCCAAGGGGAGGGGGTTTGGGTGAGGGGAGACGCCCCAATTCCCCTTTTTTCCTTGCAAACCTTGGGATCAAAGGCTCGTCGGAAGAGCTGGCACAGATTCCAAGCGTAAGTCCGGGATTTCCCGGTCTCGGTGGCGTAGAGGATGGTGGCCTTCACCCTCCGCGCCATCACCTGTCCCATCAGCTTGGCCGAGATCTTGACGGCACTGTGGGATCCCCAGGATCACAATGAGATCACCGTGGGATCCCGGAATTCCCGTGGGATCCCTGGGATCCCGGGATTCACCTACTTGGCCACTTCCTTGAAGGTCTTTCTCCGTGTGACGGTGGTGCCTTTGGACACGTAAACCTTCCAGGCATCGGGCTGTGGGGGGGAGGGGTTGGTTGGGGGGCAGAGGGGCCATGGGGGGGTTGGTTGGGGGGCAGAGGGGTCGGGGGGCTGTGGGGCTGGACCCAGCTGGTAGCGAAAAGTGGGCCGGGGGTCATAGGGGGAACTGGGGGTCAGGGGGTTGTGTGGGGGGCTGGGGAGGCAGAGGGAGCTTAGGGGGTCATGGGGGGGCTGGAGGAGTCCTGAGGGGACTGAGGGAGACCCTCAGCTGGTGCCGTGGGGGTCCCACAGGGTGCTCGAGAGGTGCTGTGGCGTGTCCTGGGGGCTGTGGGGAGGGTCCCACCTGGAAGGGGAAGGTGGGCAGGGGCTGTGGGGAGGGTCCCACCTGGTAGCGGAAGGTAGGCCGCAGCTGGTAGTTGACCATCTCCTGGTGGAAGACGGGGGTGAGGCTGCCCGAGAGGGGGGGCACGATCCAGGCCCAGTCCGCGGGACACCCCCCCCGTGCCTGCCCCTCCGCTGCCAGGTGCTTCACGAACGACTCGGTGGCCGCATGGTGGTCCACGATGGTCACCTGGGCCACCTGTGGGGACAGGGGGGCAATGGGCACCTGGGCCACCCGCAGGGCCAGGGGCTGGGGGCTCTGGGAGGGAGTGGTGTCCCCCCTGGCAGTGTGGCAGCGGGGGGGCCCTGGGGGTGTCGGGGTCCGTGTGACGTGGTGACGGGGGTCCCAGTGCTGTGGGAGCCCCCCTGGCGTGACAGTGTGGGGGTCTGGGAGTTGTGGGGGTCTCAGCATCGTGGCGGTGGGAGGTTCCCCGGGACACGGTGGGGGTGTCACGGAGGGGTGGGGGTCCCCCTGGTGCGGCAGTGGGGGGTCCCGAGGGCAGGGTCCCAGCAGTGTGGGGGTCCTGACAGGGGGGTTCTGGCTCTGGGAGCTGCCCTGGCACTGGGGGGGTCCCGGCAGGGGTCCCACCTGGAAGCTGTGCAGCACGGCCACGTTCACCTCCACGGCCGCCCGGTCCTTCCAGAGGGAAGAGCTGGTCCCCGTGTCCAGCCCCATGCGCTGGGCCACCTCCTGTGGGCGGGAGGGGGGGGGGGTCACTGGGGGGGTCGGGCAGGGGGCTCAGCCGGAGGGTGTCAGCCAGTGGAGTCCAAAGGGTCCAAATGGGGTTCCAGTGAAGGTCCCAGAGGAGATCCTGGAGGGTCTGGTGGGTCCTGGGGTATCCCAGTGGGGGGGTCCCAAAGGTTCCCAATATGGAGTCCTTGGGGTGTCCCAGGGGGTCCCGAGAAGGGTCCCGGTTGGGTGCTGGGGAGTGCCAGGGGTGGTCCCAGAGTGGTCCTGGGGGGGTCCCAATGCGGTCCTGGGGGGTGCTGGGGAGGTTCTGGTGGGGTCCCAGAGGGTGCTGGGGGGGTGTGGGGGTCTCACGGGCAGCACGTTGTAGCGGTGGCGGTCGCAGAGGTTGCGGGAGCCGATCTCGGTGCCCATGTACCAGCTGTTGAACGGGGCCGCGGGGAACTCGAGCCCCCCGATCTCCAGCAGCAGGTTGGCCACGGCTGGCAGCGCGTGCCAGCGCAGCCCCAGCTCCGAGAACCACTCCAGCCTGGGGGGGGCACGGGGGGGCTGCAGCCGGACCCTCACGGACCCACGTCTGCCCCACGCTGGCCCCACCCTGGATCCCCAATCTCCATCCCACCTGCACCCCAGTATCCCAGTGCCCAGCCAGGGAGGGAGTCAGCAGACCAGTATCCCAGTCAGGGAGAGGATCAGCATCCCAATATCCCACTGTCCAGCCCGGGAGGAGGTCAGCAACCCAGACTCCCGGTGTCCCGTGCGAGGAGACCAGCAGACCAGTATACCAGTGACAGAAGGGACCAGAATCGCAGCATCCCAGCCCGGGAAGGGGGCAGTTTCCCAGTATCCCAGCCAGGGAGGGGGTCAGCAGACCAGTATCCCGCTCAGGGATGGAATCAGCCCCACGACAGCCCCACGTCCCAAGCGGGGGTCCCAACCTCCATGCCCCCTCCATCCCCTCTCATCCCCTCCATCCCCTCCATTCCCTCTCCAGGAACGACCCCCTTGGATCTCAGCCCGGAGGGGTGTCCCAGGGGGTCGCAGCCCCACTCACGTGGGGTGCTGGAGCGGCACCTCGAGGACCAGCTCCGGGGGGAGCGGGAAGAGCTCGGGGGACTCGTCGGGGCCCTGCAGCAGCAGCGGCAGCACGTCGAAGCGGCCCCCCCCGGGGGTCCAGCCGTGCTGGATGCAGAGCTGGGGGGGACAGTGTCAGGGGGGGTCACCAGGCAGGGGAGTCTGGGGACACAGGAACTGGGAGGAGATGGAGCGGGAGATGAGGAAGGATGGAGGGGGCATGAGGAGATGGGGGTGGAGGAGTGAGGACGAAGGGATGGAGAGGGTTTGGAGGAGATGTGGAGGGGGGGATGGAGAGGCGAAGGAGGAGGAGATGAAGGGAGGGATGGAGAGGGGATAGAGGGGGGATGAGGGTGGTCTGGGGGCCCAGGGGTGCCCCACCTCGGTGATGTCCACGTTGGCGGGGTCGCCCCTCACGGAGCCGTCGGGCTGCCGGTACCCGGCGTAGCGGATCAGCTGCGGGTTCCAGATGCGGAAATCACCCCGTCCCGGTGCCCGCGGCGGGAAGATGGTGATGGCAGACCTGGGGGGATCGGGGGGCCGTCACAGACCCCCTCTGGCAACGGGGGTCGGGGGGGCCGGGAGGGCACTCACCGGATGTTGCCGCGGTTGGTGGCGAACTGGATGTGGGAGCAGAGGAGGCTGAACATCTCCCCCACCCCTGCGCAGTCCCGGGCGTCGAACACCTGTGGGGGGACGGGGTGGGGTGTGGTCGGTGCCCCCACGGGTTGCGGTGGGCGTGGTCTCAGGGGTGGGGTCGCACCTGGAGCTTGTTCCACTGGATGCGGCCGACGCAGCGAGCCGCGTTCCGCCACGCCTGCTTGGCCCCGAAGGCCAGCTCGGGCTCCCGCAGCCGGTACGAGCCCGAGGCCTCGATCTCCGCAGCCACCTCCCGCAGCCGCTGCGTGTGTGCCGGGGAGTTCTCCCTGCGGGGGGGACCCTCAGCACCCCCAAAGGCACAGGGACACCCCCAGCACCCCCAGACACTGCCACCTCCCACGGCTTCTGCATCTGCACCCCCCCTGTGGGGGGACCCAGCACTCCCAGAGGCAGGGACTCCCCCTTGCTCACCGCCGCAGGGACACGTAGTACTGGGTGATGAAGTCCCGGGCCAGCTCCAGCAGCTCCTCGGGGGGTCGCATCCCCTCGGGGGTCGGGCTGGGCAGCGGCCGCGGCAGCACCAGGGACCCCAGGCAGCGCTGCCCCGAGCAGGGCAGCTCCTGGGGGGGAGACAGTGTCACTCGGGGGCCTGCCTGGACCCCCGGGACAGAACCCCCGTCCCAGCATCCCCGCCCACACCCCCCTCGCCCGCGTCTGTCATCCCGGCACTCCCCAAACCGCACCCCCGGGACAAATCTCCGTCACAACCCCCCGCCAGCCCTGCACCCCCCAAACCTGCACTCCCCCCAACTCTACCCCCTCACTTTGCCCCTCCAATCTGCCCCCCAACACGCACCCCATCCCACACCCTCCAACCTCCATCCCTGTGCCCCCGTCCCTGGGCCTCCCCATCTTGGCACCCCCCAGCCCCACCCCCGGCCCCATCCCCGCGCCCCCCGCGCCCCCCGGCCCCGCACCTGCCCCGCGGTGGCGCAGAGCGTGTCGTAGCTGATGCTCCCCGTCTCCCAGTTCTTCAGGCGGGCGAAGCGCGGGGGCTCTGCCGGGTGAGCGGGCGCCGGGCTGGGGGGACACGGGACACCCCTGAGCCCTGCCCGGGCACGGGCGGGCCAGCCGGGGGTCTCAGGGGACGGGGGGGCTCTCGCGGTTCCGACTCCGGGACCTCCCCGGGGTGTGGGGACCAGTCCGAGGGGGCTGCGACCCCCGGGGCACGGGCGAGGGAAGGGGGGGGGGGGGGGGGGGGGGGGGGGGACTTCTGCGACCCCTGTTGCTGCCGGGGGTGTCCTGAGCCCCCGGCTCAGCCCCAGGGGGATGGCGGGAGGGTAAGGGCTGGGGCGGGTCAGAGGATGGGGGTGCCGAACTGGGGGGCAGCAATTTGGGGGTCAGGGTATGGGGGGACTGAGCCGAAGAGGGATCCAGGGGATGGGGGAACAGGAGGCAGGACTGAGCCGGAGGGGTCAGGAGTTGAGGGGGTCAGAGGATGGGGAGGCGCGGGGCGTTCCTGGCCCTCGTGCGAGTGTGAACAATGGCCATGAGTCAGAGCGGGCTCCGGGCCACCGGGGGGACACACCTCCTGTCCCGTTCCCATCCCTGTCCCCACTGGGCTGGGGGTCCCCACACCTCTATCCTCACCCGACCCCATGCACCCCCTCCCCATATGTCCCCATCCCCAAATCCAACCCGTCCCAGTGCACCCCAGCGGGTCCCAAGGGCTGCCAGGGCCACGCCGTGGGACAGGGGACACTGGCGCCGTGCCACGGGCGGTGGGAGCGGGGCTGTGCTGCCGGTGGGCATCGCGTCCTGCCCCGGTGACCCAAGCGTACCACCCCGTCGGGGACACCTCCACGGCGGGGACACCTCCACAGCGGGGACACGTCTCCAGTGGGCTCCGGCCATGGGGGATGTCCCCGGGAGCCAGGAGGGGGGTCCCCGTCCGGGTTCTGGGCCGCGGCAGGGTGGGCGCCGATGCCCCGGGGCCCCGTCCGTCCATCCCGCCCCACCCCACCCCGTCCATCCCACCTGGACACCCACCCGGGGGGCTCGGTGACAGCGGCGATGGCAGCGGTGACAGGAGGGTCCTCGGGCGCGGGGCCGCGCGGGCGCGAGCAGAGGCCGAGGCCGGGGCAGGCGCGGGGGGCCCCGGGCAGGACCCCCGGCAGGTTCCCCATCGCGGCCCCTCTGAGCCGGGAGCGGCCGCTTCCCGCTTCCTCCGGCCCGGGGAAGTGGTGACGGGGCCGCGACGCCCCCGCCCCGCGCACAATGGGCACCGCCACCGCCCCCGTCACTGCCACCTCCGTCACCTCCACTGCCACCTCCGTCACCTCCAGAGCCACCGCCACCGCCCCGCCCCTGCCACCACCGTGTGGGACACACTGGGGACCCCACCGGGGGGCTTTGGACCCAATGTGATCCCCGGCACCCCGGTACGTGGCCGTGGGGAAGCAGCGATGGCACCCAGAGTGGGGGACATGGCACTGGGGGGGCCGTGGGTGACCCGCGTGGCACCGAGGGGACACAGCACTGGAGGTGGCGTGGCACTGGGTGGCATACGTGGCACTTGGGGGCACACACGGCCCTGGGGGGACACGTGGCACCCGGGGAGGGTAAATGGCAGCTTAGGGGTACACATTGCACCCAGGAGGGACACGGCACTGGGGGGACACGGCACCGCGGCAGAGATGGGGCACACACGGGGCACACACATGGAGCTCACGGGGACATGGCACTGGGGGGGATAGATGGCACTTGGGGACACATGTGGCACCGGGGGGAGCCTGGCACCTTGGAGATGCAGTGATGGCACCCAGAGAGAGGACACCGCACCCACAGGACAGTGGAGGCACCCGTGGGGGCACCCGTGGGGGCACACACAGCACTTGTGGGGCCATGGTGGTGGCAGGGACCCCCATCCCGACCACAGGAAGCTGTGTCCCCCCAGTGCTCTGTGCCGGGTAGTTGGGTGCTCCGGGGGGTCCCGGGCCCTCCCAGCCCCCCGGGCCATCCGTGGGGCGGATGTCCGGCGGGACCCCCCCATTTCCCGCCGCTTCCACCCAGTTCCGGCCGTTGACGTGCCGGGCGCTCCCGGGGACCCCCGGACAGACACCCACCCCTGGGGGTGGGACACCCTGCGAAGGGGGGGTGCACCCCCTGACCCTCCCTTGGGGGGCACTCTGGGAAGCAGCGCGGGGTGGGGGGACGTCACCCCAGTTGTGGCGGGGGAGTCGCGCGGTGACCCCGCAGTGGGGCGGGGGTCCCGAGGGTCGCGAGTACGGGACCCCGGGGCAGGAGCGCTGTTCGGAGGGGTGCGGGGTCACGCGGGGCCCGGCGGGGGGGTCCCGCCGGAGGTTCGCGGGGGGCTCGGCCCGCAGCTCCCGCAGCGACGGGAAACCGCGCCCGGTGCCGGCGAGGCGGTTCCTTCCTGCGGGGCGGGGGAGACCGGGGGGCGCGGGGGGGGTGCCGCGGCACGGCGGGGGGGTCGAACCACAGGGAGAACGTCCCGGGGACCGCCGGGGGGGGCACGGAGGGGGCGGCCCCGGCCCCGAACGGGGAGTGGGGTTCGATCATCCCGCCCGGGGGGGGTCCCGGGTTGCCCCCCGGCCCCGGGGTGTTCCCTGCCCATCCCCGGGGGGCGGGGCAGGCCTGTCCGTCACGGCAGAGCGCCCATCCGATTGGCTGTCCTGCCCGCGGGGGCGGGGACTGGGCCATGGGACAGGGGGGAGCTGGAGGGGTCAGAGCTTGTCCTGCCCCACAGACCCCCCCTCCCTCCCAGCCCTCCCCTGTACCCCACAGTGTCCCCTGCAGCGCACGGTGTCCCCCAGCCCTACAGCCCCCCCGTGCCCCACAGCCCCCCCCGCCCGGCTCGGCTGAGCTCCGCTCGGTCCAGCCGGTCCATTCCAGTCCACTGGGGTCTGGTGGGTCCATTTGGGTCCTGTCGGTCCGTTCAGGTCCTTTCAGGTCCGTTTGGGTCCAGTGGGTCTGTTCGGGTCCATTCAAAGCCGTTTGGGCCGGTCGGTCCTGTCGGTCTGGTCGGCTCCGGTCAGTCCGGTCAGTCCAGCTGGTTCGGTCGGTCCATTCGGGTCCGGTTGGTCCATTCGGGTCCGGTTGGTCCATTCGGGTCCGGTCGGTCCCCGCGGTCGCGGCCCAGCGGCAGAGCCGAGCCGAGGCCGGCGACAGCTTCAGCACCTGGGACAGAGCCCGGGGGCGGCGGGACTGGGAGGGGACTGGGACTGGGATTGAACTCGGATGAAACGAGACTGGGACCGGACTAGGGCCAGGACTAGACTGGAACCAGGAATTAACTGTGTGGGATTGAAATAGGCCTGGGAGTGAGATTTGAACAAGGACTGGACTGGGAATGGGATTTGGTCTAGAACTGGGATCGGGACAGATTGGGATTAGGACTGGGACTGGACTGGAAGTGGGATTGGGACTGGAAGTGGGATTGGGACTGGAACTGAACTGGGACTGAACAGGAACTGGGACTGGCACCCAGACCAGCATCATGATTGGGTCTGGGACTGGACTGAACTGGCACAGGGACTTGGCCCTGGACTGGACTTGGCCCAGGACTGGGATTAGGACTGGATTGGGACTTGGACTGGACTGCAGTGAGACTGGATTGGGACCAGCACCATGACTGGGACTGGGATTAGGCTGGTCTGTGACAGTGATGGGACCCTGACTGGACTGGGACTGATCTTTGTGTCTGGGACCAGGATTGGACTGGATTCGGGCTTGGACTGGAATGGGATTGGGTTGGACTAGGAAGGGACTGGACTGGTCTGGGAGTGGACTAGGACTAGGACCAGAACCGGAACTGGGACCTGGACTGGAGTGGAAATGGAACTGGGGTTTGGACTAGATGGGCAGGACTACACTGAGGTTGGGACTGGGACCAGAACTGGACTGGATAGAGACTAGGTGGGAAGTGGGACTGGGATTTCGACTGGACAGGACTGTGAGTGGGACCAGGACTAAATTGGACTGGAACTAGAATTAGGATTGAGATTAGGATTAGATCAGGATTGGGACTGGGACAAGGACTGGGACTGGGACTCGGAAGGGGACTGGGCTGGGCTGGGCTGGCAGGATGGGGCCTGGGAGGCGCCTGACAGGATGCGGCTGGGGCTGTGCCTGTAGGCTCTGCCGCGGCCCCACTGACCCCCCCCCCCCCCACCCCCCCCCCCCCCACCCCCCCCCCCCCCCCCCCACCCCCCCCCCCAACCACCCCAAACACACCACCCCCCCCCCCAACCCCCACCCACCACACCCCCCCCCCCCACACCCCCCCCCCCCCCGCCACCCCCCCCCCCGCCCCCAACCCCACCCCCCCACCCCACCCCCCCCCCCCCCACCCCCACCCCCACTCCCCGCCCCCCCCCCCCCCCCCCCCCCCCCCCACCACACCCCCACCACCACCCCCCCCCCCCCCCCCCCCCCCCCCCCCCACCCCCCCCCCCCACCCCCCACCCCCCCCAATTGTTCCCCATCTCCCGGTGTTCCAGTGTCTCACTGGCCCTGTATCCCGGAGTCCCTGTGTCTTGGTGTCCCCATGTCCTGGTGTCCTCGCGTCCCGGTGTCCCCGTGTCCTCGTGCCCCGGTGTCCCCGTGCCGCCATGTCCCCACGTCCTGGGGTCCCGGTGTCCCCCCGTGTCGCTGCAGAAGGGGGGTCCGGGGTGTCCCCGGGGCGATGGGGGGGGCGCGGTGATCCGTGGGCGGGGCCGTGGGCGTGGTCAGTCGGTGGGCGTGGCCACTGGCACCGCTCGCGCCCCCGGGCCGGGCGGGGCGGGGGGTCCCCGGGCCCCCCCCGGCCATTGGCTGCGGCCGCGCTGGCCCCGCCCCCGGGCCCGGCTGTCAACACGCAGCGCCCGCCGCGCCCGCCGGGCCGGGCCGGGCCGAACCGAGCCGAGCCCAGCACAGCCGAGCCGAGCCGAAAACAGAGCCCCAGCCAGCAGAGACCAGAAAGGAGAGGGAGGAAGAGAAGAGGGGCGAGGAAGAAAGGGGGGGGAGAAGGCAAACACGAAGGAGAGAGAGAGGGGAAGAAGACTGACTTACTCGCGCTAGTGTACTGCATCCACATCTCATAGCCACGGGAGTTCCCGGCATGAAGTTAAGAGCAGATCCAAGGCCCAATGCACATTTTATTTCTTAAAAGGAAAGAAATGAGTGAAATTTAGTGTAAGAAACATGGAATTGCTCCGCTCTTGAGCAAATTTAACTGTGCTTCCAGCAGAGGAAAATACGGGGCTGTCTAAAAACGAGGCGTAAAGTGCAGAACTCAGCCCCCCTTGCAGCACATTTGCTTTTACATTGCCATAGTGCATGTAAACCATGAGGCAGGTTTTAAAGTTGGTTTTGCCTCTTTGATTCCTGCATCCTGCTGTTTTCTTCTTCTCTTGGAAAAGTCTGTATCGGGGGGAGCGAGGTGCCGATGCCAGCGGGTGTCACCCAGGTGTGGTGGCAGAGGTGGCTGCTGTCCCAGCCGCAGGCACGGGGCAGCTTCCTTCCCTTCTCCCCGCAGCTGGACTTGACTGGGGGGGTCATATTTTGGTCATTTCTGATTACTCCCGAACAATTTTGGCTATGTTTATAGCAAAATTTTGAAAGGATGAATGGGCGAAAAAAATCCCTTTTGGCAGTAACTCAGGAAATATCTACAAAGATGTCCTTTCTGGAGCAGGATCTTATTTCAGGGTTTGTGTTAGGATCATTTTTATTCTGTGACAGCACATAAAGAGAACGGGACAGAGCAATGAGGTCTGGCATAGCTAAAATCCCTTCTGTGTGTGTGAGGTTATATAGTTTATCAATTCAGAAACCACTACGGGCTTGGAAAAGTAAACAGCTGGCTTGGGTCTGTGCGCTGCACTCGGGAGTTGTCTGCAGGATTTAAATGGCTCGCCTGCAAGTTTTAGAGCGGGGCAAACATATATAGTTTTTCTTTTAAACATGTCAAAAGGTTTTTTGCAGCCATTTGTTTTATTAGATCCTTTTTATTTGTTGCGATTTTCCTTTCTGGCTAATTTTGGTTTATTTTGCTTTTACAAAGGGCTCTGCTGCCACCAGCAAGTCTACAAATAAATAATAATAAAAAAACCCCTTCCATCCCAGTCAGAAAACCTTGTGGCAGCAACAAATATCAGAGAAAGCCATCGTCTCTCTCAAAGATTTCATCTCACCCTCCACTTAATCCGCTTGCTGTACCTCAGATCTCAAGTAACTTTCATACTGTGGGCTCACTTTAATGGATAGAATCTATTTTTCATGAAAAAAGCAGGAAATAAGC